CACTCAAGTGTGGAAGGGCTGAGGTCGCACTTACTGAAGATCTGGCGCTTTTCCCAGGAAATCCGTGCGTGCCGCGATCGAGCAGTTTTCGCCACGACTTATGTCTTGTGTACAAGCCCGTGGAGGAAATTGTGAAAACGAAGTTATGATTTCTAAACAAGATTAATACCTTGTTCATCCACAAAAATTTCTATCAGATAGCTCTAATACTTTGGGCTTTATCACCGGAAATGCATTCACGGGAACTTATGGTCGGACTATGTATATAAATTTCCGAATATTTATAATTCTGCGACTTATGAGTGTAATTTATTATTTCTAATTTTACATTAATTCTCGAATTTATTATTATGCCCCATTTTTATAACAATTATATAAACTTTAATGCGGATTTATTCTCGTATTATTTTAGTATTATTATATCTTGTGTAAAATTATTACCCGTCTCACATTACGTTTACATTTTTTTTGTATGTGCATTTCTTAAAAAATATAAGAAGCTGTGTATTTGAATTTATTTTGTAAGGGTTACTTCTTTTCATACACAAATGCATCTTCAAATTACATAAATACATACCCATGCATGGTCTATGAAAAAACATCTGAAAAAAGGCTCATCCTCTTTCACGACCTTTTATATTTTTAGTATATACGTATGGAGCGTGTTTCAGGTATGGATATATAGCACGGATATATGTACCTATATCTTTGCATGGCGCATAGTTTGCCCCCTCCCTTTACTACTGTATGTCTAACTTTTTTAAGGTTTTTCCAGTTTTTCATTGCAGCCGGCAGTTGAGGATAAAGCTAAGCACATTTTTGACAATATGCAGATTAATGCATAAAATTGATGGAATCGTAGCATATTTATCTAGTTGTGAGTTTTCTTAATAGATTGATTTTGAGAAAAATATGAGACTAAAAGGTGAAAACCTTTTGAGCACGACAAAAAATCTTATCTTAACGCCGTATTTTTACCTCATTTTTAAAACCTTTAAGACTAAAGGAGTAAAATAAGACTAAAACTTTTTAAAACTGCAAATCCTGGCTAAACTTAGTGTAAATCTATTCATCACGTTTACAATACTCAAAAAAACTTTACAAAAAAACTTCACAAAACTACAAGCAAAATACTTGTAACATAAAACACGCCTGATGAAGCAAGAATAAATTGCGAAACGCGCCGCCAGTTTTTTCAAAATTTTGGTTGGAATTGCCTTCCCCACTTATTTAATTTTTTTTTTAAATTATGACTGACTAACTGAATAAAGGGTAATCAAATCTTAGAGGCTCATTTCAAAACGAAAATTGTATTTCCTAATATTTATTAAACTCCATGTGCAATAGAATGAACATTCCATACACAAGACAGTAGCAGAAAGTCCAATTAGAATGATATACAAAATAAACACAGTAATAAGATTGGATTGCAGATTTTGTGGTTGTAATTCTTCCACGCTTCGAGTTCTATTGCTCTGGTGAGAGACACGACTAATGAATGATAAGTAGGCCAACATTTTTCTCCAATATTTGTAAACCCCAGATTCCAATGAACGCTGAACTCTCCAAGTGACAATTGAATTCATAAAGTTGCTAAACTTTAACACCTGCATACTCTCCAGGAAACTTTCGTCACTGTGAGATATCATCAAATTCCGTTTAACGGACCGAGCGGGAAACACGTAGCTCAGATAGTCCCGAAATACTTCTTCCGTATCGATATAAACGGTTCCATTGCATTCAGTTAGTTGATCCTGGATTCCTCGATATCCTGTATTCTGACTGATATTTTGACTAATGATACTAGTCCTCCCAGCATGAAGCTGCGCGTAGATGCCATGCGCATACAGATGTCGTCGCACTTTTTCGACATCCTCCTCAAAGGTGGAGGTATTAAACTTGAAACATTTCCCACATGCGACAACCCCGTCAGACTCGACTGAAATGGTGTTGCATAAATCATCTTCAAATTCCGTCCTTGGATGAGGGAGTAACACAGTAGACGTAATGTTGGTATCATTCGCTTTACAGGATACCCTCATTCCGTCGTCGCTATTGCAATCTGTCACTAGGGACGCAAGATTACAAATTCCAGCATCCATATCAAAGTACAGTCCTCCAGGACATTGTATTTCTTGTATAAAGCCATCGGAGCAACTGTAGAAGCGCGTACAATGTTCATGTGGCCAATTTTCATAGCCTGGGGGGCAAATAATACCCCCAAACTTAGCACTTATGGCACCCCATTCTAATGGAACATTTCTAGGATATTCGTCCTGTATTGAAAAAATTTGAAACGTCGAGTTTTGAACGAGTTCCCGGAAAGTCTTGGGGGAGTGGTTATCCATCGGAGCGACTACGGTGTTAGTTAAGATACTTTTATACCCGTTGCTTAAAATAATGCACATCAGCATCCAAGACACAATTATGGGACGGTAAAGCTTAATACGCTTCGTTACTTCCTGTGATATGTAAGGCGGTACTTCAAACATTGGGGAAAGCTGGATGAATGACAGAATCATACCAAGATTTAGACCACTGTCAAAGTTCGACAAAGAATTTAAGGAGATCAGTAGCATAGGAATTAACAATAGGCAGATTCCCAATGCAATCCAAATTATGGTATCAAACGGAGAAAGGTAGAAAGAATAATGCGCACTTGGTCCGGTCATACTTGAGCACGTGGTAAAAATATACTTTCGACTAAATGTGGTCGCGTAATAGGTTGGAATTAATGGATCGGTTGTTGTTTCATTTATACTGCTAGACTTCCGAGTTGATATCCCAGTAACAAGGAAAGAATTGCTGGATACGTTGATTGGATTGAATAAATTCAGTTTTTCTTTAATGAATAAGTTAATCTGGTTAAAATCAAGCATGCATGGATTTGTACTCGAGTTTCCAAAGTTGACCAAATCCGGGTATAAAATGTTGAGCGGGGAGAGTTCTATGCTTTCCAGGAATACAGTGAAGGGGTGTCGAAGAATTTCTCCAATTTTTAGGGGATGATTAAATGTATGAGGAATGTCACGCCGTTGATCGATTCTATCCGTGTGAAACAATGGTTTTAAAAGGGTCGTTACAATACTTGTGGAACTCTCTCGGAACAAATTAATTCGGCTCTGTTCAGTGAAAAATCCGTCGCTACAGAATCCTTGGTTTTCAAGAGAACAATAGAATTTATTTTGAGTCCGATCAAACTCTGCGATGACGGTTACCCTTTGACAAGTGTAGGACTCAATCAGACTCCGTGTACGAGATGAAATTAGTTCTAGCCGAGAATCATAACTAAAACAGCGGGGACACACGTACAACAATGGGATGCTTGGGCACGATGAAGTCAAAGTCTCTTCAGAGACTGAATTTTGATCGTCAAAAATTTCCACTGCAAAAATATACGATGCGTAATTTGCACTGTCCAAATCAAAAAACATCTTTGATAGAAATGCGCTGCATTCGATTCTGTTACATGGAATTGGTTTTGTACTTATTTGCAAAATCAGCACTGGTGTGGGATTCTGTACGAACGCAAATTTTAGTCTATCAATGTACCTGGTCGAAATGTCTACGCGCTTAATGATTTGTTTAATAAGTACGACGTTCACGGTGCAGTTTGCGCGGGAATTGAATTCATTAGAAAAGTATGGTTTATCATTGGTAACCGTACAGGTATCCGGTTTCAGACAGCTTAATAGTTTAACTGGACTATTACTCGGGATGAATTTGTAATTGTCAAGTATCAAAATATTTTGGCGACAAGTTGCAAAGAAGTCAAGTAAATGTTTTACTACATTTGGTGGAACAGGAGGATGAAATGAATGTGCAAGAAAAAATAGGATATGGAAATTTAGCAGAGATAAATGAGTGAGTAACCTAATATTAGCTTGCATCTTACGACATGGAACAAATTTGTATCACTGGTATCGCGATAAATTCGTGTATGTAAAAACTCAATTTGTAGGTATGTACAACGAATGTGATTACATTATCAAATAAATGAAATTATATGGTGATTCTAAGAGTTTTATGTAAGTTTTTCATAGCTTTACCTAAGTATGTAAGTTAATATCATAAATGTAAACCCATGATTCACAACGCCCATCTTGGCTGCAGTCTATTTCAATTTGTGTCTAAAAGTGATTACAAAAAGTGCTACATTTTATATTTGTGATTGGGCTGAACTATTTACCAAACACTTTGATGACATAATTATGCTTTAAAATTTAGGTATGAAAATAAATTAAAATAATTTATGCTCACAAAGGAAGACTATGTATAAATCACACTACTTCAGTTGCAATAGTTAGTTAATAAACATTTGTTCCCATGCAATTTTTTCTATGAAAGAGTGAATGATTTTAAGGATCGATTCAATGCCAAGCATTGATAAGCAATCTACCCACCAACCAATCTGATTATGTTCACTTTTGACCCGACAAATCAAGAAACTCATCATCAGGGAGCACAACTATTACTTAAAATATATGGGAATTAATTACGTATGCATAAATAAGGTACAACTCACTTTTAAAATCTACATTGGAAATATTTTAATTCAAGCAAACCGTATGAACGCATGCTAATTAATACAGATGTGTGTGTTTGTAAATACAGGGCTGTACTTTCATGGGCCCTGAAGCGGTCTGAACAAATAACTTTTTTTTTGGTGTTTTCGAAAATTTTTCCGGAGTATTAATAGTGTGAAAAAATACGTTTGACCATTGGGCTCATCCCTGTGGTCCCGTGATCTTACGACCTACAACGCCCATCTTCGAACTCATCCGCACTTCAAAAATTAGAAATGCGTTGGGGAAAACCGTGAATAATGTCCAAATGCGAATCCGTTCTAAAGTTATCGTGGATACAGACAGACTGACAGACAAGACATTTCCACATAGTGATTTCACTTCGCTTTACCAATTAATAATTATTTCCAATAGATACATAAATACCTTTTGTTTATAATGTAAGCCAGTGACCATGCCATCAAGGTCCATATGTAGGCTAAATTGTTATACTATTTATTGTCTCCACAAAAATGTCAAATTCGTTACAAATTAGACTGAAGTTCTAATAAATTTATATTGTTAAATGAGCCTTATCATCACATGTTTATACAATAGGGTCTCCCAAGTTTGTAAAAAAGATCTAAAAAAGCGAAAAGCTAAAAAATCTGAAATCCGCTTTTTTCGCTCAATACTTGACTGTCCCGATTTTTATAGCTTGAATACTCAGGAGGAGAGAATGGGTGGTCAGGAAACTTTCGAGTTTCTGTTAAAATTTAAATTTGCTTCATGTTGGATATGATAAAACAACTATCTAAGATCATGTAAATCCAAAAATTACCAAAATGGGATGAAAATAGGATTTTTGGCAAAGGTTTGAATGCGGTAGTTTTAGTGGTTGCAATGCTTTTCAGGGGGTGTGGCGGGCGCAGGTGGGGCCATGGAGTAAAATCCTCATTCACTTTCCATACACTCATTTGCTATTACAACATATCCATAGAGCATCAAAATCGCGTGATGTCCCCTTAAACATGTCTCTGAGAGACTGATTTTTCACTCAAAGTAGTAAAAAGAGCGAAAAAATCATCTTAAAGTAGATTTTATTTTTGAGCAGAAAAAGCGGAAAAAAGATCGGAATCGCATGCGCAGTGCGGTTTACAAAAAGAGCGAAAAAATCGTGAGCGGAAAAAGCGATTTTTTTTATAAAGTTGGGACACCCTAATGTCGCATTAATTTTAGGCTTCATACTAATTCATCAAGGGAACCAGAATGTTAATTAGGACGATTTTAATTAAACCTTCTTAAGATGTTTCCATATAGCACAAGACATTCTTTTTGTATGGTGGCTCGTTAGACGTGCTACGTAAAATTGCACCATCTATGATTTCCAATCCGAAATGAGTATAGTCAACGACACGCACATCATTCGACAAAGGTACATTATCAGAGAACCATCTGTACGAGGATGGAACCTCTTTGACCACACCGTCCGTCCACAGTGGACCTTAAAATGATTGAAATTGTCAAATAAAATTGATTAAAAAAATCGGGAAATTACTCCTTACGATCTGTAACAGCTGTGACGGAAACAATCCATTCTAGTTCCCCTTGAGAATCTATAGTTGCCAGTCGCATCCCCATATTTGCACAGTTATTCCTTGCTAAGTTTGAGTCACCTTCAACAATTGATTGGATGAAATGGATTTTGCATAATTTATAATTTAAAAAAATCTTTTCCTTAGCTACCTTTGCCGTATTTTCAAGAAAGTACGATTTTTTCCCGTATCGTCCAATAAAGGATATTTTTGGACTGGAGCTACTTATTTCTATTCCATTATCTAAGGGCACGTAAGAGTTACTGAATAAATCACGACGAGATTAGCAACAATAGACATGTATTTACTTGCACTAATGGTGTCATTATTAGCCTCAGCAGTATCAAATTCCTCGAAGCCAATTTGATAATCCATTACTGTTGGTTGACCCGTCTTGGCCATATGCATATAGCAAACGTATCCCACGGTAGCACCCATTCCCCTCTCTCTAAGGGCACCACTACGCCCTTTGTACATGACTAGGCCATGGTGTACCCCTTGTACAATTCTCAACGATTCCGATACTCGGCTTTTATCAGTTCTCCAATCAAATGAAGCCGCCACAATATTATTAATTCCATCTGTCCATATACCATCTGCGTACAACCCAACAAAATTGGTCAATAGAGTAACGAAAAAGATTATTACAAACATATTGATTATAGTTTCACATTAATATGAATCTGTAATGACATGGTAATTATGATCTGGAAATTCAATTATTGGCAGTTTTAACGACTTCTTGATCCACTTACTCTCAGGAACGTTTTCAGTTGCGGGTTCTAACCAGTGGGCTTCTTCCATATTTTCAAGTCTCAGAAGTTTCATTCCCAAATTTTTACAATTTTCACGTGCATTGGGTTGCGTTGCCTAATAGCAAATTATTGGAAAGAACAATATGATCCGTTTAATAATCGAGTGGTTCATAAAGCATTTTTTTCGTACACTCTTAGCAAAACGGGGAAAAACGGGGAGCCCATATGACTTAACTAAATTGTGATAATATTTTACCCCACATTGTGATAAATCTTCCCCACAGTGTGTTAAATCCTCACTATCCAGTGTTACGTTCACACATTGTGGGGAAGATTTATCACAATGTGGGGTAAAATATTATCACAATTTGGTTAAGTCACATATGCACACCGTTTGGTGACGATTAACACTGAATTTTTAAGAGTGTAGATACATAATCTCAGAAAGAATTTTAACTTAATACAATCACGGTGTAACTTCCATCTTCCCGCGCTCGTAGTCCTTCCAATAAAATTAGTATGGTGGGAATAAATAGGACGGGAGGATGATGGAAGTTATACCGTGACCGTATCAAAGTGGTTTACATGTTTACAAATCTGACTAAGGGAACGTACATATATTACGTCATAAAAAACCACCAAAGTTTAGACCCCCACACACTCGTACCCTACCTTAATCACTTAAGCTTAGGATGAGTACATGAGACAGGGGGCCCAAAATCATCCATGCAGCTTTTTTATGACGTAATATATGGACCTTCCCCAAGCAACCAGATCAGGCAACCTTCTATAATTTTTGTGACATACATAAATAATATTGCACTGAAGAACAATACATATATGTAGCTCAACTCATAAGTATGTATAAATTTCGAATTAATCCACTATTTAATTACCCCAGCTCGGTCGAGGTAGTACGCTTTCTGATTAAATATCCCAAAGAAGGTCATCATAATATTTGCCTCTGCGAAGAATACCTGCTGCCCTACTCGGGCAGTGGAAGCACCTGACAGAAGCATAGTTTCAGATAAGTACATAAATTTACATGTACATACTTGATCTTGTGCGGAGTAAGATTTATGTAAGATATTATAATTTGCAAAATTTGTGCTGTTTAATTTTGACATAACGGAACTTACCATACGCTTCATTGAATTGGCTGCCCATTATTGTCAAAGTAATGACAAGTAAAATAATAATATTCTTAGCCATATTGAGAGGCCTCTCTAAATTAATTTTGAGTTATTTAATCTGTGGTCGTCGTTTAGTGAAGCTGCATAGAATCGAGTTGTACCGAGAAATGTCGTGAAATGAAAAATTTTCAGCTTTAAATAAACGAGCAATTCCAAGTGGATTGTAGTCCAGTCAGGTGACGTAATGATATACTTAAACCTTTCATTCAATTCGTATGTAAATTTATGATACGTTATACAATCTCGAGCAGGATTACCGGCTCCTGTCCAGTTCAATCCATCACAACCAAATAAAAATATGCGACTGATCTTTTTATTATAAAGATTAGTGATGGATATTGTCCGATGAAACCGAATACATATGTCATCAATCACAAGTTTTCACAGAACTCAATGTTTAATAAAAATCAAGAGTAATTTATTTTAACCCACATATTTACATAACTCGCTGGTAAGGGTTATTTGGATTATTCATATCTTTGTAATTCCCACGAAATGGGTCATAAATAAATATGAATGGGATTAAAATGATCAATTGCTTATAAAACCTAAAAAATATCTGACAAAACAAAATAACCTTCAAGCTTGCATACCACGCCTGTCATGGAGATGATAAATAGATAAGAGTCTTCACAATAAATTTGATTCAGCTCTTAATCGCCAAGTTATATCTCTAATCCTCCTCTTTACTCCCGTATTATAAAACATTACGGTGTGATTCCAAAGTTCTTGAGAATGATACGTAACTGTGTCGCGTATAACGCGGTTAAATAGTTTTTATAAGCTTTATACACATGCGCAGCATCCATTAATTTTTCGACACAACTTTTAACAGTTAGAGTTATAAGATAATTTAGTATTCTCTAGGTCATAAGCAGTTGCATATATTAATCAAAGTCTTAACAAAGTGATTCTAATAGAAAGCATGTGGTACATGCTTGAACTTACATTCCCCTGAGCTCCATAAAGCAAAATAAATACTTATTTAAACGTTACATTTATTCACAAATTATTGTTGTGAAAACTATTTATAGCACGTTTTTTTTTGTTACGACTTTTAGTGAGGATCGGATTCGGATTAAAATTTTGTCTCCTCCAACTACTTATCAAATTCTGTATACAAAGGAATGAACATTCCAAGCATAATACTATTACAGACATTCCAATGAGCACGATATATAAAATAAAGACGGTTACAAGATTGGACTGTAGGTTTTGTGGTCTTAATTCTTCCACACCTCTAGTTACATTGCTCTGGTGAGAGACAAGATTAATGAACGAAACATACGACAAAATTTTCCTCCAATAGTTGTACAGTCCAGATTCCAAGGAACGTTGAATTCTCCAAGTGACAATTGGGTTCATAAAATTACTAAATTTTACCACTTGCATACTCTCCAAAAAACTTTCTTCACTATTTGACAACATCAAATTTCGCTTTACTGACCTCGCTGGAAAAAAGTTTATCAAATAGTCACGAAATACTTCTTCTGTGTCAATATAGACGGTTCCATTGCAGTCAGTTAATTGGTCCTGGACTCCTCGATATCCAGTTTCTTGGCTAGTATTTGCAGTAACAATACTGGTCCTTCCAGCGTGAAGCTGTGCGTAGATACCATGTGTAAAAACTTTTTCCCGCACCCTTTGAACGTCCTGTCCAGACTTGGAGGAATTGAACTTGAAACATTTCCCACATGCGATAATGCCGTCCGATTCGGCTGAAATTTTGTTGCATAAATCGTCTTCAAATTCCGTCCTTGGGTGAGAGAGTAGCACAGTCGACGTAATGTTGACACCATCCGCCTTACAAGTTTCTCTCATTCCGTCGTCCTTATTGCAATCTGTAACCGAGTAGGCAAAATTACACTTGCCACCATCTATATCAAAGTACAATCCTCCCGGACATTGTGTTTCCTGCATGACGCCGTTTAAGCAACCATAAAATCGGGTACAATCTTCATGTGGCCAAGTTGCATAGCCTGGAGGACAAATTGCACCATCAAACTTGGCAATCAAGGCGCCCCATTCCAATGGAACATTTCTAGGATATTGGTCCTGCATTGACAGAATTTGAAACGTAGAATTTTCAACTAGCTCTCGGAAATTCTTTGGGGCGTTGTTATCCATCGGAGCGACGACGGTATTTGTTAGGATGCTTTTATACCCGTTACTTAAAATTATGCAGATGAGCATCCAGGATACAATTATAGGGCGGTAAAGTTTTATACGTTTCATCACTTGCTCTGACATGTAAGGAGGTACTTCAAACATTGGCGAAAGCAGGATGAATGATAGAACCATGCCAATATTTAGTCTATTATCCCAGTTCCATGCAGAACTTAGTGAGACCATTAGCATAGGAATTAATAGTAAGGAGATTCCCAACGCAGTCCAAATTATGGGATCAAATGGAGAAAAGTAAAATGAATAATGCGCACTTGGTCCGGTCATACTTGAACACGTGACAAATACATATTTTCTGCTAAACGTTGTCCAAAAATAAGTCGGGATCAACGGATCTGTACCGATTTCACTTGTTTTACTAGATTTACGAGTTGATATACCAGTAACAAGGAAGGAATTGCTGCTCACGTTTATAGGATAATATAAATTCAACTCGTTCATAATTACGTCGTTGATCTTGTTAAAATCCAGCATTTGTGAATTTGCACTCGAGTTTCCGAAGTTGACAAAATCCGGGTATAAAATATTTAGGGGATTGAGCTCTATGTTATCGAGGAATACGGAAAAAGGGTTGCGGAGAATGTCTCGTATTTTTAAAGGATGATTGAATGTATGAGGAATGTCACGCATTTGATCGATTCTATCCGTGTGAAACATTGGTTTTAAAAGGGTCGTTACAATACTTGTGGAACTATCTTTGAATAAGCTTATGCGACTTTGTTCTGTAAAAAATCCACCATTGCAATATCGTTTGTCCCCCGACAAGCAATAGAATTTACTTTGGGCTGGACTAAATTCTGCGGTAATGCTTATCCTTTGACAAATGTAGTGTCCAATTCGACCGCGTGATAAGATTGGTTTTAGCCGGGACTTATAATTGAAACAACGGGGACACCCGAAAAACAATGGGATGGTCGGATATACCGTAGAAGTCTCTTCATCTATTGAATTCTCTTCGACTGTCTGCACCATTTCCAATGCAAAAATGTACGACGCAAAATTTTCACTGTCCAACTCTAGAAACCACTTTGATAGACATCCACTGCATGCAATTTTATCAGTTGCCATGATTGCTTTTGTTCTGATTTCCAAAATCAGCATCGGCGTGGGACGTCGTACGAATGCAAATTTAAATTTATCAATATAAACGCCAAAACTATCTCCGCGTTTAGCCCTGTTTTGTGCAACAATTACGACGTTTACGGTACAGACTGAACGAGAACTCAGGTCATTAGCAAAGTACGGTTTATTAATACTAGACCTACATGCGTAACGCGTTAGACAGCTTAATAGTTTAACTGGACTATTACCCGGGATGAATTGATAATTGTCAAGCACTAAAATATTCTGGCGACAAGTTGCAAATAAGTCTAGTGAGTATTTTACTACGTTGGATTGAACAGAGGGATGAATTGAGGGTACAAAGAAAAATATAATGTGGGAATGCAGTAGACGAGATAAATGGAAGAGCAATATATTTTTAATTTGCATCCTTGAACGTGTGACCGAAATCGGAATGAATGATGAATGCATGCGTGCAAAAAACTAGATTTGCATTGACAGCGAGTTCGACAGAAAAGAATTAAATACATACATATGTACATAAATAGGTGAATATATATGCAATCAGATAAATGAATTTGGACATTGATTCTAAGAGTTTACATAAGTAAACAAGTTTCTAAACACTTTACTTATGCAAATAATATAGAAAAATGTAGAATGCATATAATGTAGGACGCCCATCTTGAATACTTTAAACACTCGTAAATGTTTGTAGAAAAGTCATCACAACGTTGCTACATACTTACATCCGGTCTACTAAAATAAACGTACAAATGTATGCAAGAATACGATTTTCGCAAAATTTTTCGAAATTTTTACTGGCGTAAGGTCTAAAATCGACCTTGGTCAAATTAAAAGAATTTAAATATACAAAACAATACATGCCTAATCTATAAATATAAATATGTATGCATATGCTTTGCATATATCAATTTTTTGAATTTCGCCACTTTCGAGGTTGAAGACCTTAAATGGGTCATTGTAGAAAATTCCTGTGAGCGCTACACAAAAATTGTATACGATCGCGGGATGACTCATTTTTTTCCGAAGGTCTTACGTATGTACATGTAACATCCAATCCACCTTTGTCAGTGCCCTCATAAAATTATGACCTTTTACTGTGTCATAAGTTTCAAGTGACACGGGAGGCAGCATCGCATCAAAATTATTTAAATAAGCAAACAACGGATACTTTTGTCGCCCGGTTGTACATACATACATATATTCTAAATATGCATAGCAGCTTAGGCTGAACTATTTGCATAGCACTTTTATGATTAAAGTACATATGTACGCCCTAAACCTATGCATAAATATTTAAAATTAAATCATAAAAGTCACCCTCCACGAGCGTGGACAGTTATTGAATAAACATTTAAACTGAAGCTATTGTGAATTTTGAATAAAGATAATGAAAACATTAATCGAGCATTAACAAACTTATCTACCTAATAACTAATCTGATTATTCGTATCTATTTTGTATTCATGTGGGTGAGAATTCGAGATGCTACATAATCAAGGCAGGAACTTAAATTGCACCTATGGGTATAATGAACTATGCAATTATTTTTAATTATTCATAATATGTATCCAATCATGTATGCACGTGGTAAAATAAATACATACAGAATCCAATAGTCTGTAATGTGTGTTCTTTAATGTAATCAGTTAACGAAACAGTTAAACGAAACAGAAATTTTGTTTATCGCAAAATTGTTAAATATTATTTAGAAGCAGATTTAAACCAATTAAGTAAGTAAATATTTAAGACCGGTTTTTAGGGTTTATTCTCCGCAGAATTAGTTCAACATGGACAAATTTATACACCAAGAGAAGCAGCCACGTCGATACGGCCGAAACCAAATGTATAATTTGGGAAATCGCTAGGGAAAAATGGGAGTCCGCAAACTCTGTCCGTGTTGGTCATGGGAGGGGCGGCTGCCCCAGCGTTAAGTGAGTCCCAAGTCTGTTCGAAACTCCAATCCGGATTGGCCGCGCGGATAAGGGCTGTAATATCAACACAAATTTATAAAATTGTTTAATTTAATAACTCATAACGCAGGCCCACAAGCTTATATGGTGTCCATTTTGATCATTATGGAATTTTTTAATAAAATACAAGTTTCCAAAAGGCACGAGGCTTTTGCAAATTTCGTAAAAATTACACCAAGGGGGATAAGCTGGTAGCCCTCCAGTATGAGGATACTAAGATTTAAAGGATAATAAATCCATGTATTTTACCGACTGCTCCGGCGGCGTGTAAGGTAGCCTATATATTAACGAGCAAAAATTAGTGTGGATTTGGAATTAAATTTAATGCTATGCCACCAGCGAAATTTAATCAACCACACTCCTAATTGATTAGTACATAGTAATTAGAAGGAGCACATTTTGTCTGAGTAATTAGTAAATCGAACTAACTAATTAATTAGCGAAATAAAAACCCCACCAGTAAATTGGAAATTTTTACTGTTTTTTTCTAATTAATTAGTAGTTAGAATCAGATTCAGTGGAACTAATTAAGTTAGTCAATTCGGGCGTATTATTCAATTATGTACCCTATTAATTACATTGATTGGCAAAAACCCTTTTGGTGAAAAAAATATATTTTCGCCAAACTGACCGTCAACCTTAAGCCCTGCATATTCTGAGCAATTACCATTGAAGTCCCGGACATAGAAACGTAGTTATCGCTTCCAGTCCCAGCGGAAACGATAAGAATTCCCGGAGCAGAGAAATCGGGTTTAATCTGTCCATGAGGCGTTGGACCCCTGGATGAGAAACTGGCAACGGCATCGGTATCCGTGGTGGCTCCGAAAGATATCACGTTTTCCTGATCCCCCGGAGATTGCGCAGTTCCGCAGGCAGGTCCAGCGTTTCCAAGTACGAAAACTGGGGTGATTCCAGCATTTCGCCAAGCCGCGATCTGAGGGTTGTACCAGTTTACCCCAGAACTATAAACCCACGAGTTTGAAACGATATGGGGTCGCGGGTTGGCGCCCAGCATCCATTCAGCGCAATGGGTCAGAGTTGTCTCAACTGCTCCGGCTTGATCGTTCAACCCGCGGCAGGCGACCCATGTTGCTCCAGGCGCTACCCCTATCCCGTTAGCTCGTCCTAGGATCGTTCCCGCGCAGTGAGTTCCATGACCATGTGTGTCAGTTGGTCCATCAGTGCCGTACCAGGGGTCCGACCAGGCGCCGGCATATCCGCCGGCGAGGGCTTCGTGTCCAACATTGACGCCGGTGTCGATGATGCCAACGACGATGCCGGTCCCGTTTGTGACGGCCCAGGCGTCAGAAGCCCGGATTCGGGCAATGCCCCATGACGGATTTTGGGTGGAGTTGAGGGTCTGAAATTCATGGCCTTCGACGATCGAGTCGACGTAGGCGGTGTGTTGTTTACGGATGATGAAATCTCCGGGTGTGGCTGCGAGGGAGGAGAGTTTGGAGGGAGTTAAGTTTTTGACCAGGATGATGTTTGAACCCCAGAATTGCTGGGTTTCGAGCCCGAGGAATTCCGCGACGGAGACGAAGGGAGCTTGCGCAGCGGAGGTGAGGCCTTGAAGTGTGGAGATTAGGAGATTAGTAGGGTTGCCGCGGGTAACGGGTCGGGTACCCGTTACCCGCATACCCGCACGATTCTTGCGGGTACCCGTTTTCTGCGGGTAGCGAGAACTACCCGCACGGGTAACGGGTAGTTCTGTTTTTATTTAATTCTCGACATATATCAGTTCACAAAGAAAGCTAGCAGCAAGTTAGTCCATTTACCAACAAAAGCGTCAATTTATTATTTATCTATTTCAAAATTTGCTATTTTCCAGCAACTAGGGTTTATAGCGTGCGTGTCTTTTCGGAAGCCACGGAAGCCTATGGCAGCCTGATATGCTTTTCACGTCCCTAAAATGAAATTATTGTTTCTCAAGTAAAATTTGCCTGCTCTAAAATCTGAGTAACAATTTGACTTGTATTTATTTATGTATTTATTTGTATTTATTTTGTATTTATTTATTTGTGTAAGACTGACGAGATTTTAATTTGTTCGTTGAAGATGAAAAACCTGAATCCGATTGAAGGCTAAAATTTTATTTGTAGATATTTTTAAAATGAAAACTTAAATTTAAATCAAAATTCCAAAAAAAATCAAACTAAAAGTTGAACCTTTCTTCAAGCTACACCAAGATTATCTAGAGAGTATATTAAAAAGTCAAGCCAAAAATTAGGAATCACATGATACTTTCCGTTGAATGTCCACTTTAAAGAAAAATATTGGAGGCAAAGTTCGATTTTTAAGTAAATGTTCAGCATCTTATTCCTCCACTGGACGAAAATCATGGTGGACTTTGAACTCTGATCCAAATAGTTTCCTACGGGCTATTCAAGGAAAATATTAGTGATAATTCCTAATTTTTAACTTGATTTTTTGATATCATTCGTTAAGAAATCCCGATGTAGTTTGAAAAACGTTCCATTGCAAGTCAAAAAGTTTGGTTTCAGAACAACTGCGGATATTCCCATTGCAATTTACGGCATTCGTTACTTGCGTAGCATTATCTGAAATTACATATCAACCCAAATGAGCCAATTAATTAAATGGAATTTATTCTTAAGGCTGGTTAGGTTTTAAGTCAATTTTCATTACGGGTAGCGGGTAACGGGTACCCGCACGGGTACCCGTGCGGGTACGGGTAGTTGTGCTGCGGGTAGCGGGTCGGGTAACGGGTAGCATTTTCGCTACCCGCGGCAACCCTAGAGATTAGTGCGGTTACCTTGGCGTCTCCTGTAAGGGACTGGAGGACCAGGTTGGATTCGATTTGGTCAATGATTTGAGGCAGTTCGAAGATCGCTTCGGTCGCGCTGCCCGACTCGACGGCGAGTTTGAGAGAAGGCTCGACCGTACCGGCGGTCGCGAGCGCCAAAGTGGCGGCAAGGAAAACAAATAACGTCATTATGGTGGTGCTAGTATTTGAAGGGTTTGGCAGCAAAAGGCCGACTCTTTAAGAGCCCAGATTGGCGTGCTATTTTATACAGGTCAATTTTATCTAATTTATTTTATTTCAGCTCTATCTAATTTCAATCAAGTTTGACAGCGATTAATTTAATTTAATTGAGTTTGCATGTTTCGGATAATTCTCAGGTGCATATAAATTGTGTAAGTATGTATTTATGTATTAGTTCGATAACATGATTAGATTAATACATGGGTTATCAATGCAGTCAATGGGTATTTATTAAGTAGCTTCAGCTACTTTATGCGAAGACTTTGTCTGTCTGTCTGTCTGTCTGTCTGTCTGTCCGTCTGTCAGCAGGATAACGGAAGAACGGATTGAGATAATCGAAATCGGTTTTCGCCATTATACATATGACCCTAGGGGGAGGATCCTATCAACTTTTGGGGGCAACCGGACCACCCCCCTTGGCGCCAGGGGGTGTGGTCGGGGCAAAATGAGATTTATAGTGCAATTTGATCTATGGATGAAATAGAGTGAAATGAAGTGATCCCGAGTTGTGCCACACCCCCTCCGCGCCAGGGGGTGTGGTCGGGGCAAAATGAGATTTTAAAAAAATTGAATCTATAGGTGAAATGGAGTGAAATTGAGTGTTTTCGCGATGTCATGGGAGTGGTTGGGGTGAAGTAGTCTGAAGCTACTTCCGTATGCGCGTTTGCGACGGTTTATTTCAGTTATGCGTTACATAAGTCGTAATTAATGGAGAGGAGAATATATAATATCCGAGTCGAGGTATGCGCAATTGCAGAACAGATTATTTTCCTTCGAATTTTAAGCACAATAAACGGTATTTTTATTCATATTGGATGAATTTGGAAAATTGATTCAGTCTTAGGCAACTGGTATTGAATCATTATTGGCAATAATATGTATGTACTTACATATATGACTGCATCGAGCGATATGGCGTACATAGTAATGTGGTAGTAATAAAATATTTACCACTCACGTAATAATTCGGAATTATTACCAAATTAACACCAGTATGGAGTATATGGAGTATTTACAGTGTAAATCATTCCGTAAACTCAGCGTACACTCCCGTATACGCTGAAAATTTTACAGCGTATACATAAGAACGTATTGTTTTTGAACTTATCAATGCATGAATTGAAAATCGTTATATACACACTGGATAATGATTATGGGGAATAGTTAGATCTCCTTAATATATATGTATTTGAGATTGGACAGATAAGCTGGTTCGTGAGCAAGATAAGCTTGTTATTGCACATTGCATTATTTCGAGTATTATTGAAACTTAACTTTGAAAATGTTTATCTTTGAATTCAATTCAAAGCGAAAATAGTGATCATTATGTACAAATGTAAACCGATAATCGTCGGATTTATTGAATGTGTATAATTGATAAAATCACGACCAACGACGTTAGAAAACCTTCACTAAATTTAAATACATGAATATGTATATATGTATGTATGTACTCTTCAACGATAACTTTTCATGAGACTCGTTTGGTCTAGTTTTGTTAAATCTAATTTATGAAGTCAAAAATTTACTTATGTAACATTGCAATTGATTTTTTATGTAAATTTGAGTCGTGAAATATAAATATGTAAGGGATACATGCGCATGAATTTCAGCGAATTTGTTTTTATAAAACAAGGAATTTAGAGAATAAAAATAATTGTGTTACGGTCAGTGTGGCAGATAATTTCAGATGAACGAAGAAATAATTTACACTTAATTCTTACAATTACAATTTCAAAGAAGAGTTTATTGCATAAATACAACATTATAAGATCAGTAAAATTATAATGCATGATAAAAAATTTTTCATGTGGTTGTTTATTCAAAAGGAAATAACTACGAATAAATATCCAAACTCACGGAAAAAGATCAATTAATTTTTTAACTTTTAGTGGCGAAAAATATTATTCCTTAGCAATCAGATTGCCAATATTTGCAAATATTTGAAATACATAAATTTATTGAAAATTTGTTTGCTACACACATTTTAACGGTGACTTACATACGGAATGATAACAAAACTTGAATTTAATTATTTATGATTATTTAAATAGTTTATAAATATGTGTACATCTTTAAATTGATTTTTATGTGAAAACACGACCTTCTATCAATCATATTTGTGCATTAGTTACTGAACTTGTTTACATTAGCTACTTATGTATTGATACATGTACATAAATATATTTACATAAAAAGTTCAATCTTGTAGTGGGTCAAAAGTATGCAATGTACTTATCTACATTTAATAGTTACAATGTACCAAATGTAGTACTGTCACGCGTAATACTTTAAATTTAACAATGAGTACGATTATGTGCACATATACAAGTACATAATTCTATAAAAGTCATAATATTGCTACTGGTATATATACATAAAAATAAATGTTCTTTGAATATATCGCATCTTGTCGACAAGATTAGATCAACAGAAAAATACATACGCATAGAAATACATACACTTTTTTATCCCAATATTAAGTACGTTTTCAATTTAGTTTTGATGTGGGCAATTATATGCATGCAATTATCATGATGTACATACATAAATTTAATCATGCACACATGTATGTATAAATCTCTACGTATGAAGTATACATTATTTGTAGGATGTAAACAGGAAAGATTAAGTGTTCCAACCCCAGGCTATCTGCCGAGAGATTATTCATTTACATGTAACTCAATCACGGCTTCCTTAGTACATGAAAATGGCTCAACAGAGTAATTCCTCTTTTCGAGTTTTTTTAACAACAAACAAACTTAGGGGTTTGCGATGGGAGGACCAGCTTTTTTAAAAAGTCGGCATTTGATTTATAGTCTATTTACTACCTACCAAAAATTTAACTAACTATTCAGCAAGTTTGAACTATTTTACAAACGTTGTCATGAATGAACTTCCATGATCAAACGGGAGCTGATCTATCTTTTACAAATTCCAATTTCACAAATTTCAAAAGGCCATTTTCAATGGCCAAAATTTCGAACAATATCGATCAATAAATTCTAAGTACATCCTACCATGGATTTCTCACTCAAGACGAGATAACCCCGACTTTAAATTTAGAATTTCTTCAGTATCTATTCAAATGTAGTTTGCTGTTGGGACCCCTATTGGGCTAGGGAAATCTTAGTCAGATGTGTATCCTCAAGAAAAATTACCACTTTCTCCTAGGATATGTGCTGTTATCGACATAAAAAAATAGTTATTGATGTCGCTCATCTTACATGTCAAGCGTTGATTCAATCAACTACATAAACAGATTTGGTCATTAGCTTTAAAATGAAAAATATTTTTAAAAAAATATCTACTCGTATGCACTTCTCATTCTCGTCATTTTTAAGGGGTGAAAGCCCTTTATAAGATCGTTATGTCCGTCTGTCTGTCTGTCTGTCTGTCCGTAGCTCCGATAACTTTTGAACGGAAAGACATAGAGACTTGAAATTTTGAAAGTAAACTCCTAACGTCAAGGGACAGGACGAGTTTCGAGGATGGACACTGTGACATCGTCCCTTGTGACGATGACGTCGTCACAAGTGACGAAAAGTGACGAAAAAGTGTCACGTATCAGTTTTGACATGTGATACATCATTTATAACTAAATTACGGCGACGAATTCAATGGTGACCTTCATTTTGACCTCTAAGAGGTCATCTAAAGGTCATAGGGCATACATATGTCAATTTGACAGGAAATTCATTTTAACGTATCAAACAGTTCTTTCACCCCTTGGTTACATTCGTTGTAACGGTTTATTTGTAATGCATTAATCATTGGAATGGAATGGGCAACATCCACACACACGCATTACATGTTAGAGTAATGAGTCGAATTTTACGGGGGGAAAGTTCGGGATATGAAGAACTGTAAATCAGCCCTAATGTAAAGTTTGGTTATCATGCTCTCCATCAGCGACGGAACTTTCAAATATATTCGCTATACACATGAGCCATAAACACATTAAGCGTTTACAACCAAACCTGAACCATGCATGGATATTTGTAAGCTTTGAAGCATTACGTGTGATATATTTATATATATATATATAAACATTTGTATACAAGTGTTCGTACAAAACACGAAGTTCGTAGCAGGCTTCTCTAGGTGATGGACGAAATGTGTGCAATTTTCTTGTACACGGTTCGGCATAAACATAAATGTATTGTGTCATTAAAATCGGTTGCACATTCGTTATGTACGTACGCCATGCAATCAGCGACTTTGTTAGGAATCTTCGTAGGACTTAGGGATACCTTTACGAGAGAAAAGTAACAAACTGGAAAGAAAGTATTCCAGGAGAAACTAAGATTGAACGATCAAGGAAAACATGACAACCAGAAAAACATCCTCTGACATCAGGGCTTGTGACAAATCTTAATTTCAACATGTTCACTAAATGTGCATATTTTGAGGAAATCCCCGAAATATTTGCAATTTTCATGTGTACACATGTGTGATTTGTCAAAATGTACATATGATTATGCATGAAATTAGAAATTCAGTGCGCACTTGATAAAATGTTGCAAAATATTAACCCACGCCGATCCTTTACACGTCGGGTGGGGTGATTGGTTCTAAATGTTCAGAATAGTCGTAGGAGGATACAAAATTATCCATCACGCGGCGCTACACCAGGTAATTAGGATGGACAAATATTCCGAAACAAGTCAAAGTATGTATGTATAAATTTCACTAGTTAAAATATACATTCATTAGCCTGAAATTTTTGAAACTGCAAAACAAATTTTTCCTAATTGGTCTCATATCTGACGCAAAAGTCAAATAATATGAGGACTCATCTTTAAACAAAATTGAATTACTAAAATTATGCGAGTTTTTTTTCAGGACGCGTTACATTAAAACATTGAACAAGATTATGGCCGAATCACTTTAGATTATGGCCAAATCACTCTGTATTCTGGGTATGTACTTAACTATTAAAGCAACAATGAAACAGTTGGAAATGAAAAACACCATGAAGAATGGAAACTCGATACAAAATGAACTTCTGAGAAAATTCGCGAGTGCTTACATAT